AACAAGGAAGGGAGTGATTAATTCTACAGGCGAGGAGTGGAAGTCTCTGGGACCAACAACGGAGAAGGGCTGAGAGCAGGACGCTACCCAGAGAAACAGAGATGCCTGAGATGGAGACAGAGATGATGACGTGGAGTGATGAAGCAGCTGGGGACTTTGGATCCAGAGAGGGAAAGGGACTGCGGGCCGAAAACTGGGGTGGGGGTGGGGGGAAGTGTAGGGGACGGGTTTCTAGCATATATGCTTTGGTTGGTTGGTGATGTATGGAGGGGATTAGAACCATGGCAATGAGATGATGTACGAAGGAATGAATGTAAAACTAAAGTTCTCTCATGTAAACTATCATATAATTCACAATAAAACATTTAAATAAATAAATAAAAAGAATACAACCCTGGCACACACTTTTCCTGATTTTAAACCATTCAGTGTCCCCATGTTTTGTTAGAGACTGCCTCTTGGTTTATGTACAGGTCCCTTATGAGCACAATTAAGTGGTCTGGAATACTCATTCTTCACAATGTTGTCCATAGCTTATCCTGATCCATACAATCAAAAGTTTTTGTGTAGTCAATAAAGCACAGGCAAACATCTTTCTGGTAGTCTCGGCTTTCAAGCCAAGATTCATCCTACGTTAGCAATGATAACCCTCGTTCCAATGTCCCTGTCTGAATTTGGCCTGAATATTTGGAAGCGCCCTGTCAGTGTATTGCTGCAGCCATTAAAAAGTTATTTTTAGCAAAATTTTACTTGCATTTGATATTAATGATATTTTTCAATGATTTCCACATTCTGTTGGGTTACCTCTCTTTAGAACAAGAACAAATATGAATCTCTTCTGATCAGTTGGCCTGGTAGCTGTCATCCAAATTTCTTGGCAGATGGCGGCTAGGGTGGAGGTGCAATGAAGTTTGCCGTCAGCAATACTACAGAATACCAGGCAAAGCAGATCCAGGACAGAGCTCCAAAACTCAGAACCACAGAGATAGGAATATTTTGAAGGTTTGAAGGCTTATAGATTGTGGAACTTGAAGCTGACGTAAAAAAATCGCATACTTCTGAATCTGTCAGGCTGGGCTTGGAGCCAACATTTTGGGGGAGACCAAACGGCAAGAACAAATGGGGGAGCAAAAATACCACGGAAATATGGTGGACAATACACACTGTCAGTTTTGCTTGGTTCTGATTTTCTTTTCTTTTCTTTTTTTTGGGTATCTAGTCATTGGCACGCCCACTGTTTGCCCACCTCCGTTCTAGTGACTAGAGGGGGAGCCTGAGTGAGTGGACACCGCCCACCCTCACCACTGGTGGGTTCTTCTGCCACGCAAGTGCACATACTCAGTTCAAGAGCAGGCCCTGAAGGTTTTTTGCTTGTTTTTTAATACGGGAAATGGCAGGACAGGGCTGCAGAGAGGCAAAGAGAGTTTAAAAACTAAACAGGCTGAAAATTAAATTAAAGCCTGAGGTATAGCGTAACAACCAACACTGGCATCTTGAAATCTCTCAGTCAGCTTTGAAAGCAAGAAGCTGAAGAGAGAACATTAAAGTCATACTCATATTAGGCTACAGATTTTTTTTCTTCTTCTCTCCCTTTTCTATGATTATAGACTGCAATATTCAGTTTAGTTTTTGTTGTTGCTGTTTTTTATTTGTTTGTTTTTTGTGTGTGTGTGCTTTTTTCTCTTGTTTTTTTTCCACTGGTGCTGTTTTGTTGCTATATGCTCCCCCTTCTACCTTTAGAGGACTCTTTCTTGCCAAGGTACAATCACACTCTATAAAACACCAAAACCTAGGCAAGAATGAATACCAACTGCCATATACCAGGAAAACAGACAACACCTGTGAAAGTTACTCTGAGTTAAGCAATAAGAAGAGCA